TGGTCCAAAGGGAACAGATTGAAGAAACTGCTCGAGTGGACCAATTTGGCTCCAAAGTGTTAACCGGACGCTTGGTATAGCAAGCGTCCGGTCGCCACATGTGCTCCAAATTGGTCCAACGGGAACAGATTGAAGGGGAACAGGTCGAACGAACAAAGTGGTTTGCTGAGGCCTGCTCTATACGAGGCCTCCGGTCGCCAAATGTGCTCCAAATTGGTCCAAAGGGAACAGATTGAAGAAACTGCTCGAGTGGACCAATTTGGCTCCAAAGTGTTAACCGGACGCTTGGTATAGCAAGCGTCCGGTCGCCACATGTGCTCCAAATTGGTCCAACGGGAACAGATTGAAGGGGAACAGGTCGAACGAACAAAGTGGTTTGCTGAGGCCTGCTCTATACGAGGCCTCCGGTCGCCAAATGTGCTCCAAATTGGTCCAAAGGGAACAGATTGAAGAAACTGCTCGAGTGGACCAATTTGGCTCCAAAGTGTTAACCGGACGCTTGGTATAGCAAGCGTCCGGTCGCCACATGTGCTCCAAATTGGTCCAACGGGAACAGATTGAAGGGGAACAGGTCGAACGAACAAAGTGGTTTGCTGAGGCCTGCTCTATACGAGGCCTCCGGTCGCCAAATGTGCTCCAAATTGGTCCAAAGGGAACAGATTGAAGAAACTGCTCGAGTGGACCAATTTGGCTCCAAAGTGTTAACCGGACGCTTGGTATAGCAAGCGTCCGGTCGCCACATGTGCTCCAAATTGGTCCAACGGGAACAGATTGAAGGGGAACAGGTCGAACGAACAAAGTGGTTTGCTGAGGCCTGCTCTATACGAGGCCTCCGGTCGCCAAATGTGCTCCAAATTGGTCCAAAGGGAACAGATTGAAGAAACTGCTCGAGTGGACCAATTTGGCTCCAAAGTGTTAACCGGACGCTTGGTATAGCAAGCGTCCGGTCGCCACATGTGCTCCAAATTGGTCCAACGGGAACAGATTGAAGGGGAACAGGTCGAACGAACAAAGTGGTTTGCTGAGGCCTGCTCTATACGAGGCCTCCGGTCGCCAAATGTGCTCCAAATTGGTCCAAAGGGAACAGATTGAAGAAACTGCTCGAGTGGACCAATTTGGCTCCAAAGTGTTAACCGGACGCTTGGTATAGCAAGCGTCCGGTCGCCACATGTGCTCCAAATTGGTCCAACGGGAACAGATTGAAGGGGAACAGGTCGAACGAACAAAGTGGTTTGCTGAGGCCTGCTCTATACGAGGCCTCCGGTCGCCAAATGTGCTCCAAATTGGTCCAAAGGGAACAGATTGAAGAAACTGCTCGAGTGGACCAATTTGGCTCCAAAGTGTTAACCGGACGCTTGGTATAGCAAGCGTCCGGTCGCCACATGTGCTCCAAATTGGTCCAACGGGAACAGATTGAAGGGGAACAGGTCGAACGAACAAAGTGGTTTGCTGAGGCCTGCTCTATACGAGGCCTCCGGTCGCCAAATGTGCTCCAAATTGGTCCAAAGGGAACAGATTGAAGAAACTGCTCGAGTGGACCAATTTGGCTCCAAAGTGTTAACCGGACGCTTGGTATAGCAAGCGTCCGGTCGCCACATGTGCTCCAAATTGGTCCAACGGGAACAGATTGAAGGGGAACAGGTCGAACGAACAAAGTGGTTTGCTGAGGCCTGCTCTATACGAGGCCTCCGGTCGCCAAATGTGCTCCAAATTGGTCCAAAGGGAACAGATTGAAGAAACTGCTCGAGTGGACCAATTTGGCTCCAAAGTGTTAACCGGACGCTTGGTATAGCAAGCGTCCGGTCGCCACATGTGCTCCAAATTGGTCCAACGGGAACAGATTGAAGGGGAACAGGTCGAACGAACAAAGTGGTTTGCTGAGGCCTGCTCTATACGAGGCCTCCGGTCGCCAAATGTGCTCCAAATTGGTCCAAAGGGAACAGATTGAAGAAACTGCTCGAGTGGACCAATTTGGCTCCAAAGTGTTAACCGGACGCTTGGTATAGCAAGCGTCCGGTCGCCACATGTGCTCCAAATTGGTCCAACGGGAACAGATTGAAGGGGAACAGGTCGAACGAACAAAGTGGTTTGCTGAGGCCTGCTCTATACGAGGCCTCCGGTCGCCAAATGTGCTCCAAATTGGTCCAAAGGGAACAGATTGAAGAAACTGCTCGAGTGGACCAATTTGGCTCCAAAGTGTTAACCGGACGCTTGGTATAGCAAGCGTCCGGTCGCCACATGTGCTCCAAATTGGTCCAACGGGAACAGATTGAAGGGGAACAGGTCGAACGAACAAAGTGGTTTGCTGAGGCCTGCTCTATACGAGGCCTCCGGTCGCCAAATGTGCTCCAAATTGGTCCAAAGGGAACAGATTGAAGAAACTGCTCGAGTGGACCAATTTGGCTCCAAAGTGTTAACCGGACGCTTGGTATAGCAAGCGTCCGGTCGCCACATGTGCTCCAAATTGGTCCAACGGGAACAGATTGAAGGGGAACAGGTCGAACGAACAAAGTGGTTTGCTGAGGCCTGCTCTATACGAGGCCTCCGGTCGCCAAATGTGCTCCAAATTGGTCCAAAGGGAACAGATTGAAGAAACTGCTCGAGTGGACCAATTTGGCTCCAAAGTGTTAACCGGACGCTTGGTATAGCAAGCGTCCGGTCGCCACATGTGCTCCAAATTGGTCCAACGGGAACAGATTGAAGGGGAACAGGTCGAACGAACAAAGTGGTTTGCTGAGGCCTGCTCTATACGAGGCCTCCGGTCGCCAAATGTGCTCCAAATTGGTCCAAAGGGAACAGATTGAAGAAACTGCTCGAGTGGACCAATTTGGCTCCAAAGTGTTAACCGGACGCTTGGTATAGCAAGCGTCCGGTCGCCACATGTGCTCCAAATTGATCCAACGGGAACAGATTGAAGGGGAACAGGTCGAACGAACAAAGTGGTTTGCTGAGGCCTGCTCTATACGAGGCCTCCGGTCGCCAAATGTGCTCCAAATTGGTCCAAAGGGAACAGATTGAAGAAACTGCTCGAGTGGACCAATTTGGCTCCAAAGTGTTAACCGGACGCTTGGTATAGCAAGCGTCCGGTCGCCACATGTGCTCCAAATTGGTCCAACGGGAACAGATTGAAGGGGAACAGGTCGAACGAACAAAGTGGTTTGCTGAGGCCTGCTCTATACGAGGCCTCCGGTCGCCAAATGTGCTCCAAATTGGTCCAAAGGGAACAGATTGAAGAAACTGCTCGAGTGGACCAATTTGGCTCCAAAGTGTTAACCGGACGCTTGGTATAGCAAGCGTCCGGTCGCCACATGTGCTCCAAATTGGTCCAACGGGAACAGATTGAAGGGGAACAGGTCGAACGAACAAAGTGGTTTGCTGAGGCCTGCTCTATACGAGGCCTCCGGTCGCCAAATGTGCTCCAAATTGGTCCAAAGGGAACAGATTGAAGAAACTGCTCGAGTGGACCAATTTGGCTCCAAAGTGTTAACCGGACGCTTGGTATAGCAAGCGTCCGGTCGCCACATGTGCTCCAAATTGGTCCAACGGGAACAGATTGAAGGGGAACAGGTCGAACGAACAAAGTGGTTTGCTGAGGCCTGCTCTATACGAGGCCTCCGGTCGCCAAATGTGCTCCAAATTGGTCCAAAGGGAACAGATTGAAGAAACTGCTCGAGTGGACCAATTTGGCTCCAAAGTGTTAACCGGACGCTTGGTATAGCAAGCGTCCGGTCGCCACATGTGCTCCAAATTGGTCCAACGGGAACAGATTGAAGGGGAACAGGTCGAACGAACAAAGTGGTTTGCTGAGGCCTGCTCTATACGAGGCCTCCGGTCGCCAAATGTGCTCCAAATTGGTCCAAAGGGAACAGATTGAAGAAACTGCTCGAGTGGACCAATTTGGCTCCAAAGTGTTAACCGGACGCTTGGTATAGCAAGCGTCCGGTCGCCACATGTGCTCCAAATTGGTCCAACGGGAACAGATTGAAGGGGAACAGGTCGAACGAACAAAGTGGTTTGCTGAGGCCTGCTCTATACGAGGCCTCCGGTCGCCAAATGTGCTCCAAATTGGTCCAAAGGGAACAGATTGAAGAAACTGCTCGAGTGGACCAATTTGGCTCCAAAGTGTTAACCGGACGCTTGGTATAGCAAGCGTCCGGTCGCCACATGTGCTCCAAATTGGTCCAACGGGAACAGATTGAAGGGGAACAGGTCGAACGAACAAAGTGGTTTGCTGAGGCCTGCTCTATACGAGGCCTCCGGTCGCCAAATGTGCTCCAAATTGGTCCAAAGGGAACAGATTGAAGAAACTGCTCGAGTGGACCAATTTGGCTCCAAAGTGTTAACCGGACGCTTGGTATAGCAAGCGTCCGGTCGCCACATGTGCTCCAAATTGGTCCAACGGGAACAGATTGAAGGGGAACAGGTCGAACGAACAAAGTGGTTTGCTGAGGCCTGCTCTATACGAGGCCTCCGGTCGCCAAATGTGCTCCAAATTGGTCCAAAGGGAACAGATTGAAGAAACTGCTCGAGTGGACCAATTTGGCTCCAAAGTGTTAACCGGACGCTTGGTATAGCAAGCGTCCGGTCGCCACATGTGCTCCAAATTGGTCCAACGGGAACAGATTGAAGGGGAACAGGTCGAACGAACAAAGTGGTTTGCTGAGGCCTGCTCTATACGAGGCCTCCGGTCGCCAAATGTGCTCCAAATTGGTCCAAAGGGAACAGATTGAAGAAACTGCTCGAGTGGACCAATTTGGCTCCAAAGTGTTAACCGGACGCTTGGTATAGCAAGCGTCCGGTCGCCACATGTGCTCCAAATTGGTCCAACGGGAACAGATTGAAGGGGAACAGGTCGAACGAACAAAGTGGTTTGCTGAGGCCTGCTCTATACGAGGCCTCCGGTCGCCAAATGTGCTCCAAATTGGTCCAAAGGAAACAGATTAAAAAATAACAATATTTAAACCACCATTTATTATTATAACATTGAATCCCATCAACCACTATAGTTCGAAAATATCCGATTGAGACGATTCGGAGCTTGTATTCAAAAGGCGTTCCGTTTTCTCAGACAATTGTATCGCGCAATTTTCCTCTAAGATCGCATTTATCGCATCCACAATATCCTGGTCGGAATATACGACGATGGCTGTAGCATCAGAAGCATCATCGACGATCCGTAAAATGTTTCCTCGAGCAAACCATTTCAAGTTTCGCATGCGCAATTTAATACAATTACCAATGTCGATCGAGTGCGCCAATCCGCGCCACCGTTTCACCAAATTGGCATTAGGATTCCTCTTCATAAATACACAAATTGCCTTTTCGAAGCTCTCGCGTTGCCTCCTGACAATGTACCATTCTCGGTTCGGTATTACCCCGATCAACGCCAAACAGCGATCCTTTTTGCGATTGATGGGCAATGGTGCAACAAGCGGCGCAATTTCTGTACGCAATTGATCCACCACTTCGGTGCGTATACGTTTGCGTATAATGTCCAGCTTGGTGGACACGGTCAAGTGACGTTTTTCTGCTTGCCGTCTCTCCTCTTCCGCCTTTAGTCTCTCTTGTTCGGCTCGTTCAATTTCGCGATCGGCATTCGATTTCACCAGCAACACTAGATCCTTCAACTCGTGAACCGACTGCGTCAATTGATTGTTTTGAGCGCTAATCAATTCATTGCGGTACTCCTCGAAATATTTTTCATATTTCATATACTGCATGGAAATGTATTTAAGGAAAGAATACAACTCGCGTATCTCTTGAGCTTTGCGACTGCGCATTTGCATCAGCAGCGACTCGAAATGCAGCGTATCCAGAACAATGTAGCGTTTCTTCCGAAAACTGGCATCATCGATTTCTTCGTACTTAAAGTGTGGATTCTTTTTCAATAAAGACATAAAATTTGTTTTCATATTTCGGTAGTCGCCCGTATAACCACACCAAGATAGCAAATCGTCGTTGATTATAATATTTTTACCCAGCATCATGTTCCAAAAGAAGGCATTGCGTCGATCGTTTTTAATGTCGATTCCAAATTTTTCACACACCTCCGAGTAGGACAACTTTAGCGGGGCTATCCATTGTCGTACATCTTGATTCGAATTTAACAAAGTTAGAGACATTATTGTTATCGTTGCTCTTCTCAATGAACAGATTCCAGTAAAGATGGAGACCGAGGTCTGAATATCCGACAGAGGAACAGATGGAGACTAATACTAGTTATTACGTCCCAGCACATTATATAGTACCCGGTAAAGTAACGGATTGAGACTGAGATTTTACAACATGGCCCACGGCGTCTCCAATTTAGTTTCTTCCTACACTTTTTCCCTCACAATCAAGGCGTCATGTACATTACTTTCGGGAACCATACTTGTCGACAAATTGGTTTTACACCGACACTTGGCGTTTTCCGGCCACCGGCTCTTGGTTAGAGCCGAGGCAAATTAAATTTATAAAGTTCCAGGGTTGACCATATTTTTGCCAAATTGGTTTTACACCGACACTTGGCGTTTTCAAGCCACCCACTCGACGCTAGAGGTTGGGTAAAATAAATTTAAATGTTATTCTTGCAAAGACGCCAGTTGACCACATGTGCTCCAAATTGGTTTTACACCGACTCTTGGCGTTTTCAAGCCAACGAATAGCCTCTAGAGGCTGAGTAAATTCAATTTGATTTAAATAAATTACAGAAAATAATTCAAATGTGGAGCCAATTTGGAACCAACAATGCTCCAAAAGCGATTTTTGGGCCAAGCGGGAGCCCAGCCCCCCCATATTTCACAGCGTCATCTCCCTGCTCCTCTTTTACTTCTGGACAATGTGAAATATTAAAGTAAAAGAAGCTCGCGCGCGAGACTGCATCTCTTTATATAGTTACGACCTCCGACCCCATACTAGATAACGAAAAATGGTGGGGATGATCAAATTTTCCCAGTCTCTCGTGGACCACCGTGAGATGGAGACGTATGTAAAAAAAAATAAAAAAACTTACTCGAGTATATATATTTTTTATTACAAATGTTTAAATCCCGTGTAACACGTGGTACAATTTCAAAAGTTTTAGATTAGACTTTTGTATTAGACCCAGGAAGAGTAGTTGTTGTTGCACGTGTTACCAATGGAATTTGAATACGACTCGGGCATAATGTCACGATCCACGTGAACGGTGGACACGGCCGATACGGTTGGGCGAATAACAAACATGGCTCCCGGGGGAGGAGCTTTGTAATCCAGCACCACGGGGTTGATTACTGGCACTATTCCCCGCATCAATTTGTCTTTAGTTTGTTTGTCGATTGTATGAGACTCGAAATTGCCCAACTTTTTCAGAGGAATATCGCCCGTATAGGCGGCCGTACCGAACCCACAGCCACCCATGAACCATCCGTCTATTATGTACACGTTGGGCACTATAGACACGACATCGTCCGTCCGATCCGACAGAGCAAATTGGCCCGGCCAATGAGCCAAAATGTTCAACACGTCGAAAATGTTTTCAAACAACTTGAGTGGCACCAGTATACAGATAGTTTCGACTTTTGTATTGGACCCCGTTTTGGCGGCACCCTCCAACGCCATCTTGTACAGTTTCTCTGCAAAAGGGCTCTTTTTTTCGTCGGCATAGCGCGGTGTAAAATTTACGGCCACCATTCGTTGAGCAATGTCGCTTAGTTTGCTTTGTATATAACCGTTGTATTGTTGTTTGAATGCGTGCAGTTTGTTTGCAATGGGCGTTTGATAGTCGGACGAAGAGTTGATTGCCATGTTGATCATAAACTCACTTTCCGACTGAATGGCGCTATCGTCGTGCACCAAGGATATCGGGTCGCCGTCCCTACCCAACATGGACAAGAGTGGCATCAGTTTGACGGGTCTATTGTGCGTTTTTGTCGACACCGGCATGATGAGAGCGTTTGGATAGATGGGCGAGGAGACTGCTTTAAATTTCAAATTTTGCAACCCCCAGTGATTTTCACATCGACCGTTGTACACGTCTCCGCCGCAATTGGTGGTGGAGAAGAAACAAAGCGGCGCGCCGTTCACCGTATACTTTCCGTGTCTGTCAAAGTTTAGCGCGTCGAAGAGTGTGTTGGCAATGTAGTTGGAGCGGCAAATGGCACCCCTATCGTCCATATCCACGTCGTCTGCGCGCGTTTGTACATTTACAGCGGCAGCTTGTTGCCTTTGCTGTTGAGCCATTTTTACCCTCTTACATTCTAATAACCAGAGTTGTCGGTTGGCTCGTGATGGTGGTGGCGGCGGCGGCTAGTGGCCGTTTGAGGTAAATAAGATAGAATGTCAAATGGCTTAAAACCGTCAATTGTTTTCACGACAGTCGTGTTGATTGTAATTATTGGCATTGTGGTCTTGGTGTCGTCTAGAAAGAAACAGGCCGATGTACAATATGCGCTCGAAAGTTCGTTTGTGAGCAAGAAAATTCCAATAACTCTGGACGCCTATCTCAAGGTATTTGTTGCCGAAAATTTAAGCGCGGACAACATACAAAACATTGTTAAACTGCTAAGCGACAACTTGGACAAACGGCGCACTGTGGTTAGCGTCATCAACCAATTTGGCAAATACACGGTGCCGTTTAATGCGACAAATTTACCCATTCAGTGGAGTATCGTACGCATGTCGCCGTCGATTCAGCTGTTGGTCTTGTCAAACTATTGGTTTCGCATACACAAAACTGTCAAGTTGGACGGGTTTGTTATCAACGGCGGGTACAAGTTGACGCTACAGATCGACTCGGGGGTGCACGTGTTGTTTTACCAAGACGCCGAACCCATTTCCACCACCAATCCCAACACTACACTGTGCGCGTCCATAGACGTCTTTAACATTGCCCAGTCTTGCAAACTCTATTGGGACACTAAGCGCGTATCGTTTGAGCAATACGCCTCGCACGACGCCAAAGCCTCGGTGCCCGACAATACAATAATCAACTACATGTCGCCCAACATTCAACCCGTGCCGGCCACAGACGACTTGACCGTTCAAAATTCGTGGAACAAGAATGTGTACACGAGCGTCTTTAAATTAAACGCCATTTCGCAGGCCAACGCGCTCCTACTATTGCGACTAATAGCCAACGTCTACAAATTGTCGACGGGTTGGCCGTGTTTTATAATTTTATCGCCACCCTACTACAACTTGCGCGACTTGAACGTCTTTATGCCCATCAATATGGTACTGAAGCGATTCGTCATCAATAGTGTACTATCAATGACTATAGTGTATCGCGAAGACCTCTCGCAACCGCCCCGAGTAACGGTATCCAGTCAATTTTCGTCTGAATTCGGACTCGTGGCCAGTGTTTTGGTCAAGCGCCCCACCTCTATAGATCAAGACGTCTCCCCGCCTCCCCCCTCGACTTTCTATCACTTGGCGTTTGTACAAAACGCACCGACCAGTACGGATGGAAAGCTCGACGAGGCTCTATCTCGACTCTCACTCCACCTACTGCCACCGCCATCGGACCACCAGGAGAATGCTGGGAAACCCATAGTGTATACCGGGTTTAGCGCTTCGACCGATTATACGGAAGAGTTTGCGTTTGCCGACGAAACCAAAGATTCGATGATTCTCGTCGATGGAAAATACATTGCCGCCGATCCGTTTGGTACTTTTTCAAGTTTTACGCTCTATTAAAAAGCAGACGCTCAGACGTTACCCCAACCTTTACGGATTTATACCACTGGATCGTCTTTTTTTTACATTTAAACAAGAATTGCCGTACGGTCGGGGCGCGTGCTTGTTCCCGGTACCCGTACATTTATCGAGTTTTATCAAAGTGAAGATTGGCCACGGGATAGCCGACTGGTGTACTCGACGTCGCTTTCGAGGGCGAATTGTGACCCATTTTGTCTTTACACCACAGACACCCGACCGTGCCGTGTGGGCGGCGATTTGTGTGCACACTGGCAATCTGTTATCGGGCACAATGTCGCGACAATCGGATCTTTGGACTTTTCTCAACTGGGTGGATGCGGAAAACAACAAGCACCCCGCGCTCCCTTTCAAATCGTCCCGATTATCAAAGGCCGCACGCAAGGTGGAGTACCATTTCACCGTGCAACCCGACTCTAAATTGGCCACGGCCGAATCCGTGGAAACGATTGCCCCCTTGCGCATACAGGACTATGTGGACAAGTATGTACGAGTCGGCGGTACCGTTTTGGATTGCCGCGGTTCCACCGAAGACACGAACGCGTTGCTGCCGCAGCCGCCGCCGAGTAAACGTCGAAAAGGGTTTAAAAATATGGCTCCAAATTTAAAACACTCGCTCATATCGCCCACCCTCGGCGCTTCAAAACTGACGATGGTGCCGGCGGAAGCGACCACTACCACTACAACCACCACCACCACCACCACCACCACCAACACCACCTCCGCCGTCACAAACAACAACTACTCCAACCGCATCAGTAACGGCGGCCACCCCCCACGTCTTTCTCGTCGCATCACTATAAAATCCCACGTAGACTATTTTTGTGCGGCCATCTCGAAATGGAGACGTGTCGATTTGGATTCGATAGCGGCCACAAAGCCGCACGCTGACAACCTCTTTTTAAATTTACCCAAGTTGCCCGTTATACCGCCCATTGAAACCATGACGGAGGAACAACGCGAGTTTGTAGAGTTTATGGAGGAGGCGCTCAAGAAACCACAGTTTAAAGTGGTCGCCCTGACCGGGCCCGCGGGTTCCGGCAAAACACGCTGTTTGGACGCACTGCGCGCCCACAATGTCTTGTATGTGGCGTGCAAGGGACAATTGGTGCAAGATATCAACAAAAATTCCCATGTCCACTCGGCAATGACGTGGGCCAAATTGGGCATCACATTGTTGGGGCTTTCGTACTATGGCTGGTTGTCGGCAAACAACATTGTGAAGAGAATATCGCCCGAGCACTGCGGAGATCGTCTCTTTGCCAGCCCCCTGTTTACCGGCCTAAAGGCGCCCGAGCAAGTGGGCTTGTTGCGCTCGTTCACGGTGCTGTACATTGACGAGTTTAGCATGTTAAACTATGGAGAAGTGTTGATGATTTTGGAACTGATTAAATTGTACAATCTTCAAATGATTGTGGTGTTGGTGGGCGACCCGGCCCAATTGCCG